CGGAAAGCTCGCTGTCTGCATTGCCCGCATTCTTCATGTGATCGGCCATCTCGTCGTAGCGCTCTGCCTGCTCGGCAAGCTTGGCCTCAGAACACTGCCAGTCAGCTGCGACAAGTCAGCACAGCACAAAAGCTCAAGCAGAGGCTGCCTGCTTCACAGCCGAGTGGCAAAGTACACGTCCTTCTCACGGGGCGGCATGGCTGCAAAAGGCCGTGGGGCTGGCAGCAATGCAAGACTCCGAAACTCGAAAAGCTTTGCAGCTTCGCGGCTTGGGCCGGCAAAATTTTACAATGAACCCTTTGCCAGTAACGGCTCAAGCTGAAGCCTACAGCCAGCACAGTCAACACCATCAAGCAGTCGTTGGCAGCAGTAGCTCGAGCAGCGGCAGTAGCGGAAGCAAACCAGTGGCAGTGACAGCAGCAGTAAACTTACAAGAAACGCAGCAACAGCAACGAAAACAATGATACTCGTGACTCATAACCATGGTCATGTTGACTATGCCAGTGCTGATACTCAAAGTGCTGACAAGGGCTGGCGCCGGGAGCGACACCTGTACCCCCCACTCCGGGCCCCAAACCTCAAGCTCCGAAGCCGAAACCTCAATGGGTTTAGGATTTAGGGTTTAGGGTTAATGGCCGAAACCAGACCCTGACAGCTCAGCCCCGGACACACACTGGTAGTCCAGCGGCCTTTAGATGGCTCTTCTATGGTTTTAGGATTCGGGCGTGGAGCAATGAAGGATTGAGATTCTATGGGTCTGGGCACTGAATACTGTTGGTCATTGGTGGAAGCCATGTTTTGTCAACGGGTGAAGGTCTAAGGCAGTCTCAAGGGATGTGCCTTGGTTGGATGCGCTGCTCCATGTTCGCATTTGTTCCGGTAGCCTTGTGTCCGTCTTTCTTTTGCAACGGTGTATTGGCAGGGCTCGTGTCCTGCTCAAAAGACTCATCTTTCAAACATAAGCACAATGTTCCGGCTCGCGGTCTCTTGCTTGTGGGCTCGTGTTCTGCTGGTAAACTTTGTATATAAACTGTAATACAAGTTCAGAAGGCTTAACCTGAAATCAAAGTAATCATTACCGACATCGTTCCGCCGCCAATTATTGCTACTGACAAGACGACGAAGACGACGACGACCTCTGCTGTACCACTATCACCACTACTTTACCTTTTTGCTAAGGAGGAGTCAGATGGTCGGCAGCGGCAGCAGTGGCAGCGATGATGATGATGAGGATGATGATGGCGATGATGGTGATGATGTAGATGAAGAAGAAGATGCTGGTGATGACCATGGTGGAAATGATGCTCATGATACTGGTGCCGGCGTTGGTATTTGGGACAATCAAGAAAACATTCTGCTGATGGCGGTGGCGGCGGCCGCCGCCGTGGCGCGGTGGTGGTGGTGGTGGTGGTGGCGGTGGTGGCGGTGGCGGCGGCGGTGGCGGTGGCGGCGGCGGTGGCGACGGCGATGAGGGCGGTGATGGCGGTGATGGTGGTGTGACGGTGATCACTATGCTGGCGATGGTTAATGCCATGATTGTTGTGCTGCGTGGTGATGGCTATGAAGTTTTTGAAGATGTCGAGGCATTCATGATACTATTGACCACAGGTGCTAATAAGCACAGCTGCCATGTTTGGTAGCCTTCGGCACGCCGTGCACGAAACCGGCAAAGTTGGTTCTAGTCTGCCGGTGAAACGGATGGCCGCGATGCGGCAAGCTGAAGCGTTTGGAGTCTACGTCTACTGTGAGGGGGAAAAGGGTCTTGGGGGATGTTATAGTGATATAGTATAGACAAAGTAAAGAAACCTAAGGATTCGCATGAGCACTTATTCAGGCTTCTCCATCATTCCTCGAGGCTCGAAATTCGTCTGGTTGGTTCGGGGATGAGTGTCCTGCACAGCTGTTCTCACAACGATTTGCTCTAAGCATGGCTCTCTTGTGCAGAGACGGACTTCAACGCTCCAGAGTGACTCAGAGGGACTTATGTACAAGGCGGGGCCACGCACGGTCGCATCACTGTCCTCTCTTCTTGCTCCCCTGGCGCCCTGGCCCTCCATCCTCGTTTTCCAGCAGCTGCACTGCTGCCTTGCAGTAGTTCCTGCAGTAGCGGCCACATTGCCGCTGGGGAAGTGTCAGTATCAGTGGAATTCAATGAGGATTCATAGTCAGTACTTCTTTGAGGTAAGCGGGTCAGCTTATAGAAAAAGCAACTCACGCAGATCGCGACGAAAAGGCGTCCGTTGGAGTGCAACAGAATACCGAGCAGCTTATGGTCTTGATTTTACACGGACCGATGCTCCAACTGCTTCTTAAGTAGAAGGAAACTCCAAAGCTAAGAGGAATCAAAGGGTAGGGCCAGGGGCTGCATGCATCCGCGGAACTCAACCTTATCGTAAGCCTAACCCGCCATAACTGAACCTGTGCCCCGACCCTCGCAACTGCACGGGTTGCAGTTCAGGATGAGTGCCCTCGGACCCCCTCTTTGTTTCCTGTGGTCCCTTTCATAAGTCATACACACCCTAAACCTCAAGCCTGAAGACCCACCACTGCGACAACCCGAAGTCCTATGACCCCAAACAACGGGACTGATCCTTCAGCACCGGCCTGTCACCTAGTAGTTTTCTTATAGTAGCATGGTGCAAAAAGTATGCTATGTTATAATAGTATACTACAGTCGTAGTTTCTAGTTGTAGACTTCAGTAGTAAAATATGGTAGTGTGAGAACCCACCACCAACACAACTGCCGGGTATGCATTCACTGCGGGTCTTTTGACTTTTTGTTTTATTGGTCATCATGTGTCAATATTCTCTGACAATACTATCAGACTGCAAGGGTCATGCGAACCTACAAAAGATTATACTATTTGTCCCCATCCTGCTCACATACAAATACCCCTGTCTATCTTGGTCACCTGAACATCATGGCTACGAATGAACCGGGGGGCCTTTTGTATACATCCTGAACAGCTTCCCACTGTGGCGGGAAAGCGCGACTGCAGATTGTGGTCCCGGATAGCGCCGGGTATGCGCGAGTATGCGAGTATGCGCGAGTATATGCTCGAGTATGTGCGGGGGTATGCGCGGGAATCTGTGGACATGTGTAGCGCAGGTATGCGCGAGTATGCGCGGGTATGCGCGAGTGTGCGTGAGTATGCTCACACTCGAGCGTACTCGAGCTTACTCGAACATACTCGAGCGTACTCGAGCGTCCTCGAGCGTACTCGAGCATACTCAAGCTTACTCGAGCGTATGCGCGAGTACTCGGAAGGCAGTCGCCCATCGCTTCCGAGATGCAGCTTCCAAGCACCCTCACCCCTACCCCAGCGATGCAAATTCCAATCTTAAAAATCCAAACCCTTACATAACCCTGACCCATGGACCCTAAGCCATCAACTCCAAATCATAACGGGAAACCCGAGAGCCTGAACCCCAAAAGCTTCGACCCAAAACCCGGAACCCCTAACCCACCCTGAATCCCCAAATGCACTGCTTACCAGGCTGGTCCTGAACCGGTCCACACCCAAGTGAATGATGCCTCGTAGCTGCTTGGAGTTCAGGTTTAGGGGCTTCAGGGTTTCGGGGTTACGGAGTTCGGTGTTCCGGTCCTTAGGGTTGAGCCCTTTAGCATCGGGTTCAAGTCTTTGCGCGGTCTTTGGGCTTGAGGCTGAGCTTTGCCCGCAACCTTTGCACCACCAGCGCCGTGCTCACCCGAATCTCCGCACCCAGCTCATCACTGTGATATCGAATACTACTAATACTAACTACTATTTTGACTACTACTAATCATAGTCGTGATACCGGTAGTATCCGGTGCGGTGGTTCGACAGACCCTGAAATCTAAACCTGAAGCCCTGGGAATCCCTGGCTCAAGACCGATCTCCCTCCGACGCCACACCAGCACATTCAACGAAAAGCACATTGGTTATAGGGTTTAGGGTTCAGGGTTTAGGGGTTTAGGGTTTAGGGTTTGGGGGTTTAGGGTTTAGTGTTGTTGCGGAATTGTCGCTGGTTGCTCTTACATGAGGCTTTACATGTTGGTCCGTCATGCCTGTTTCAGTGCAGATTGACTGAACTTGGTGTTGCAGTCTCGTTCCTGAGACATTCACCTTTGCATGAGAAACGCAAGAGTCACTAAAACTTACAAAGGAGACACGCACAAGAATCTGTGGCGCAATGCATCCCATCTGCAACTCAGACATGCCGTTTCATGCACAAAACACACCCATAAGACATGCAACACGTCCGAGAAAGAGACTGCGCAGGACAACTTGGCTTCTATAGCCGCAATCGTGTAAGAAGAATGACACGGGAAGCAGTGACTCGCGCCCGAAAAAGTCCCCCAGGTCTTTCCAACTTACATCAAGAAACCTTGCACCTCTTACCCGCTGGGCCCACAGAACCCTAAACCCTAAACCCTAGAACCCTAGAATCCTAGAACCTTAAAACCCTAAAACCCTAGAACCCTGGCATGAGCAGGTCTGGCCTCTCCAGCGAGTGACCTCGGGGAAGGGACTCCAAGGTTGAAGGGCTTCAGGGTTTAGGGTTATGGGGTTATAGGGTTGTGGGTTCTGGGGCAAAAGGGGTTAGAGGGCTCTAGGGTTGTAAGGTTTAGGGCTTAGGGTTCTAGGGCTTAGGGCTCTGGGTTTTGGGGAAGGTTTGGTTCGAGGCTTTGGGGAATGCGGAGAGGATTATCCCCATGCTTCCGGAACATGGCAACATGATCAGGTGATGGTCTTAGCAGTCATGGTGCGGACCGTGACCATGAAATTGATAAGAGGGCGGGGTCAGAGAGTTGGGGCTACCTTGTTCTTCAGCATCCGGGGCCCGCAACTTGTGGCCGAATCGCACAGTTGAGCAGGGCAAAGCTCAATCAGTCCGAGGCACTATGACGACGATGTCCTTATCCCCGCGCTTCTTGAGCACTGCCAACCTGGGCACCCAGTTTGTAAATCGATGCGGCGGACAGCCTGTGCCATGCATCCGAAGGGCAAGCGTCTCCCGGCTCCTGCTTCACCGTCGTCAGTGAAGTCCTGCTGGCTCAGTGAGACAGAGACTGGGCAGAGAATCTAGAACTGGAGCGACCATGCATGGCAGGGAGCCGGTGGGAAGTCAACCAAAAAGTCCAAAAATGAACAGCTTGGCAGCGGAGATTACGACACAAACGGTACTTGCAGCTTGCTGGCCTAAACGCCAAGCAGCTTCAAAACTGAAGACATCCATACCAATTACATGTCGCGGCAGCTTCCTCCCATATCGCGGGATCTGTGTACCGAAAACGCCAGGCTGCCTCGGGGCGCACATGAACATCCTACCGGCTGCCACCAGGAACAAGCCCTACACCAGTCTCAGATGCGCACCACGTTGTGCGTAGCCGCCATGATTTTGCGATCTTGCAGCAGGGCATCTCTCACAGACTCCTCGGCTCGTAAAGAAAACGAAAGCTGCGGACTTCCGCCCCGGGGCAGCCCGAGATCCCAAAGTTAAAGTCTAGAGGCGACCTCTTGGATGCTCGACACGTGAGCCATGTGGGCCTGGAACGACGACTTCCTCAGCGCATAGGAATTTCTGCGACCCTTCTACGGTGCCAGTAACCCTTACAGTCCTAGCAACCTTTGTTGACACCCTTACTTATATATATATATATATAGAAACCTCCGACTCGGAGTCCCAGAGTCCTGTCGATCAAGATCTCACCGTGCACAATGGGCAGCTTCGCTTGAGCTTGCGCCGGAGCCTCGGCTTTGGAGTTACAGCAGTATAGTTTTAGGCCTCCTTAAGAAAAATTCTTCCCATCTCGCCATACGCCAGGGTATGCCCATGTCAGTTCGTTTGTTTGTTCGTATGTATGTATGTATGTATGTATGTATGTATTTATGTTTGTTTGTGTGTATGTGCGTATGGAGGCATGGATGCATGTACCAGCATATGCATACTACCTAAATGTGCGAGCATATACCTGCCTATGTATGTACAGGTGGATCCAACACATCCATCCATTCATCTATGTATCCATCCGTCGATCCATACATAGTTCTTCTTCTTCCATCGTGCAATGGAATCCTGCTTTGCGGTATTCACACATACATACATACATACATACATACATACATACATACATACATACACACACATACATATATATATATATACTTCTTCTTCTTCCCCACTGCAAAG